GGCCTACATTCAATTGTTAGCAAAATTAAAATTACACTTTCACTATAGGTGAAAGGGCCTCATAAGTGGAATAGCCTAGGGCCTCTTTTCATCTAAATCCGGCCCTGGCCACAGAAGTAGCAAGTGAGCGCACACATGCATGTGAATCCCCACTTGCGTGAGCAATGAGCAAGCACATTAGCATGTGTTTCATTTGGATGTGTTCCATTTGGCAGGCGTGTATGCTCACTGCTCATGGAAATGGAGCTGACTGCACTTGCCTGCCGCTCGCACGGAACCATCCCCTCTCCCCTCCCACACCAGGCCGCAAAGCTGGAAAGGTTGAGGAACTCTGGTCTAGTTACAATTCAGTTAAGAAAGGAATAGAATATACATGCATTCTAAGTTGTCATTTACAGCTAGTTTTAATATCTTTTTAGTATAATTTTAATATCTCTTGAGCATTTCAGTATGACATTTGGGCCACTTCCTAGGGCCACTAGGAGTCAAGCAGTATATACATTTAATAAATTATTATGGTTTGCTACATAGTCAACCAAATGTTTAAACAGGATTTGGCAGTTTTGTCTGCCTATTCAGTCCTTCCAAAGGACCTGAGATATCACAAGATGTTCTAAGTAAAGCTGCCCTTTGCAGTTGACTGATGGTGATTTTGTCAATGCCGATGATGTTCAAGTGGTGCCACTTGACTAGATCTAATCAACAGAAGAGCCATTTATGTCATGGTGACATTCTTCCACAATGCAGAATTGTAAGGATGAGAAGATGGAATTGTAGCAAAGATTAATCATTTACTGCAGAGGTGTCAAACTGGCGGCCTGCGGGCCAGATGCGTCACATGAAGGCCATGCCCATCCCAGCTCTGTGAATGGGGAAAACATTGTGAAACGTCACATGACTGCCACATGAGGTGGCGAGTTTGACACCCGCAATATACTTTGTAGTTATTTCATACTTGAATCTGATGTAATTTAATTATTTTATATTTTTTCAGCTGCTTTGAGAGGTCTGGGTGAAAAATAGCTAAGAAATGGTTTCAAGAAAATGTCAGCTCCGCCCTGATTCTACTCTTTCTCTTGCTGCTTATCTCTTCCCCTAGCCCTCCTATTTCCTAGCGTCTCCATGTTAGGGAATGTGTTTGGTTTTGTGTTTAGCCTATTTCTTTTCTTTTTCTGGGAAAATGGAGAATCCTTTAAAAATACCGTGTTTTCCCGAAAATAAGACCCTGTCTCATCTTTTTTTTGAATCCTGAAATAAGCGCTTGGCCTTATTGCGATGCGCTCAAAAGCCCGATTGGGCTTATTATCAGAGGATGTCCTATTTTGGGGGAAACATAGTATATGTCTGCATTGAAATTGTGGTTATTCCTAAGTAAGATTATCAATGTTGCCAGCTAAAGAAGACGAGCATATTTAGGTGTAATAAGCAGTTTTGACCACTTTACTGGGAGGAATTGTACTTGGTGTGGTTGTGTTGTCATTCAAAGAAGGAGTCCTGTGTTTCCTTTTGCTGTGCAACTATGAAAAATGTAGGAGCCCCAGTTCTCAAAAGCAAACCATAATATGCAAAAAGTGGGAGGCTTCTAGCTTTGTAAAAAGATTGCCAATATTTTGAACCACCAGATTAGAGGAAGAGATTCTTTACCTCTGAAATCTTGCATGGAAGCCACTAGATGTCACTGTTGGTCTTGAAGTGGAAACATGATCTCTTCTCAACTTCCTCTCATTTTTTTTTTTTTTTTTTGGAAGTTTCCTCATTCATGATGCTGGGTTATTAGTCCTGTTGCTTACTTGATACAGAATTGTGAGCAGAAGAACTTTTGGACTGCCTAAAGATAGAATATTATGTAAATTCACCCAGAACTACTATGCAATCAGCAAAACTTAACAGTCTGTAAAGTTTGCAAATGCTTTAGGTGAGTTTGCCATTACTGAGTATTATTATTATTATTTTGGTATGTGTGTACTTTCAAGTTAGTCTTGACTACTGATAACTGCCTGGACAAGTTCCTGCAGTTTTCCTGACAAGATTTTGGAAGTGTTTTGCCCATGCTTTCTTTCTAGGACTGAGAGAGAGGGACTGGCTCAAAGACACCAAGATGGCTTCATGCATGGCAGGACTAGAACTCACTGTCTCCTGGTTTTTAGATTGGTACCTTAACCACTATACCGAGCCAGCTTTCACTAAAATACTATTATGTTTTTTTTTTATTTATTTATTTTTCCCTGTACACGAGGACTGAACTGAAATCATGAATTCTTTTTGAAACATTGCATATGTTTTTAACTCATAAGTTTCACCTATTTACCATCCCAAGATCTTCCTCAGAATAGTCCTTTCTTTTAACAGAACAAAACCAAGCATGAGGGGGAAAATGTGTTTTACACAATTATATAGTAATTACCATTCTCAGAAAGATATTTTGTTGGCAAATGACCCCATACCTATGGCTATCTCATTTTGTATATTTGTTGACGACAGAAATCTTCATTTCTGATACAATCTGCAATCTTTTCTACTCTTACCTTAAAATGCCCTCTGGAACAAAAAAATGAAGAGTATAAATTGCAAGCCTTTGCAGATGATTTGGGTTTTGTAATCAAGGAACCTCTACAATCAGGCCCCAAATTGATTAAAAAAAATAGAGGAATTTGGCGTAATGGCAGGTCTAAAAATTAACAAAAAAAAATCTAAATTGCTAACAAAAAATCTTACTAAAAAACAAGAGATAGAACTGGAGAACACTACAGATATTCAGATAACAAGGAGAATAAAGTACTTAGGGATTTGGTTAACAGCAAGAGGTTCCTCAATCAAAAAAGTTAATTATGATAAATTAATGCTGCAAATTGGGAAAGATTTAGAAAATTGGAAGAACCTTCAAATTTCATGGATGGGAAGAGTGGCGGCAATAAAAATGAATATCTTGCCCAAAATACTGTTCCTCTTCCAGGGTGTACTGATAAAAATACAAAAATCCTTATCATACTTCAAAATTATCATGAAATGTTGAGATCAGTTCAAGCCTTTGGAGCCATTTTTTTTTGTTTGTTTAATTCAGACAGAGGAAGAGCAAATGTGCAGTGGTGGTTATATGCAATCAGTGCAAAATTAATTGAAGTACGTTGAAGTATTATCTCCTATGTTTTGAACTAGATTGTACTCCAAAGCAATTCACACCAGCAAAGCAAAGCATAATGAGCTGATATAGCAAATTAGTTAAAATTGATCAGTAAAGACTGGTTTCTTTCACTGAACTAACCACAAAATGATAGAATAGTAGTGTCAGGGTTCCAACCAATGCCCTAATAAAATCAGGAGCCTCAAGCCAAGAAAAATCCAGTTTTTTATTAGGAGTGCCATGTCGACACGACCTAAGTGAAGCCAGCTCTGACTTCACTCAGTTCACGCCTTGCCTCTGATCCTGTTGCCCCCTCCCCCCAAGGTGTGTCACCTGTCACATTCCCCAATGAAGCAATTTCACGGGTCATAGAAGTCACTCCCTCTGGCTGTTGCAGGTCTCAGTGGAGATGGCCTTGACTTTGACTGGCTAGGATGTTTTTTGTTTTGACTGAGGTGTGAATTCTTTGGTGCAGCTGTGAGACACGATTTCCCATCCCACTGCCTATGGCAACTTGGAAGCAGGTCAGGAAAGATTCACAAGTTGACACATAGGGAATGCCCACCTTAGTACAGCATTGATCTGAAGATATGGCTTTTCATGTGAATTCAACCATAGCTGAATGGCAGTTGCACAAGTTTGATAATGTAACCTTTTAGTCATGCCCTTTATTTGTTTGGATTTGTCCTTCTCTCACAAAACCAAGAATCAGCGTTGAATACAGCATCTCAAAAATAACAGGTAATAATAATAGGTAACATTGTCCCCAGGATAGGATATGAAGATATATGAGTCTGAAACATTAATTAAGTCAGATTTGAACCTGGATGGAAGAACTATCTAGAATCTCTCAACTTTAGGTGGTGTAGTGCATTTCCTTCAATAGCCAGTATTTCCTATTCATTCTGTTAAGTGGAATTCTGGAGTCTTGACAGCAATATAATTGAGCTTAACATTTACCCAACTATGCCCTCCTGGGAAAACGGGTATAAATAAGCTCCTGGCCAGTTGGCACCCTGGTAGCTCACTGCATCTGGCTTGTCTGTATTTCAGTCAATTTATGTTTATTGCTTTTCTTAATATGCCCACATGCATACACAAACACATACACTATGGCAAGGTGTAGAAAAAGGAAAATGAAATAATGCTAAACGACTTGCAATTTCTGTTTTGATGTTGCATCCTCTTGGACTTGGTTATAAGAATTGCTATGCCAGTGCCCACAGTTTGCAATCATGGTGGGCCCACGTTTAATAAATAGTCTGAAAAGCCATTAAGAAACAACTTTGGCAAGCTATATTTCTATTCTAGAGACTCTGTATGTTGAAAAAGTTTGACTCTCAGCATTCAGAAACTGGCCGATTCTATTTTCAGTTCACAGACATTGTATTGAAGCTGAGCTGTCCAAGGTGTGAAGTCTAAAAGTGTTATAGGAAATCATATAGGAAATCACACACTGTTTAATTGAAAATGAAACTTTGACATGTGGAAAAATAAAAATAAAAAAAGAAAATCATATAGAAAATGTTATTAATACACACAGGCAAAGAGAAAGAAATTGAAACATGGGAAGTAAATTCAGTGTGAGTAACGCTTGCTCAATGCTTGTAGCCAAGTGATAGGATTTTCTAAGCTTGTTTATTATTAAAACACCCTATCAATGTGGAAAGAAGTCTAAATCATTTCTCCTCCTTCATAAGCACAATCATAAGATTTATGTCACGGGTAAACAATTTTATCTAAGGATATAATAAGAAAGTCCAATTCAGCAAAATGTTGCATGGTTTCGTGTATTTCGTTCTAATAGACCAGATGTCATACTATGCATATCTACCTGGACGTATGTTCAACTGCATATCTCAATCAAAATCTACATGGCTGAAAACTTTTGCCTAGTTTATTTTTATTTTACAAATATATTTCTGATAGTATTCCAGAAGGCGAATGTTACTGTTCACTCAGGCATTGGGGTAGGGTAAATAAAAGCCCTTGTCTGATGTATTGGATACATTTGACATACGTTTTGGTGTCAGTTGTCTGGATTTTAATCTTCTTTATTAATTTTATTATATTTTTCTTTACTTCATTGTGCTTTATCTTCTTTTCCTCATGTGAGCTGTCCAGTGTTATGTGGTGCTGAAATTGAATTAAATCAAATAAAGCACAGGCAAGACTGACAGACAAGTATCTTAGTTTGACAATCTTTTTTTTTGTATTGCTAATCTCACTGTCAGGAATTGGAATTCCCTAACAAAGAAACATTCTCAGAAAGTGCAAATTACCCAACTCTGTATCAAGTGATTCTGAATTTAAATTTGTCAGTAGATTTTACATCCGGGTTTGTGCAGTTTTTGCCGCTTGGAAAAGGAACTGCAGGAACAAGCAGGACAACAGCTATAGGATACTGCTATTTAAATCACATCTCTACATGCTCCCCATTATATGACCATTGGTGCCTAGATATTATGGCTAAGAAAACCATGTTTTCAAATACAAAGACAAGATACTGTTCCATTGTTAAGTGAGGAGATTCCTGGCCCGTACTGGGATTTTTTCTGTTTGAGCAGGACACCAATTTTCCCTCATGGCTGACTGACTCAGAGCCATTGGAGGTATGCAGAGGATCCTGTATTCCAGCAAAGAACAAAATAAAGATTGTTGAGAGAATTCAGTTTATGAGTATTGAAGAGATACCAATGTTTCTAGATTTTGTTTCTCTGAGAAAAAGCTGCCCTTGATTCACATTAGGCCAGTATAGAGGGAAATTGATGGGATTGGTTTCCTAAACTATAACTGCCTTCTCACTTTTAAGTACTGCAAGGCAAGGAGTTCTGAAATAAAATGAGCCAGAAAATCGACATGATAAAACATGCAGGCTACTTGACTTGCATATAGCTTTTGTCAATATGATAGATAGGATGTTCTTTTTAATAGTTCTTAATGGTGTTTTTCTTGATCAGAACTGAATGGCAAGGCTTTAAAGATTTATTTATAGATAAAATAAGGGAAGAAAGAGGTTTTTTTTTTTTTTGTTAAAATATAGATGTTATTATTTCTGGTACGTGTTATATTGGTAAAGGAGTTTTGAGAGGAGACAAAGCCAAAATGGTAAGAAATTAAATTGTGAGATTCTACTGGAAGGAATTGAAGATAAATATATTTTTTAATATGTTGCTATTCCTGATAGGTCTTAATGCAGGTGTTTAAAAACTTCCTTTGAAGAATTTTAAAGATTTGTTTATCTATAAGAGATAAGATATTGGAAGAAATGTTTTGTTGTATTTTTAGATAAAATGATACGTTACTATGTTAAAAGCAAAGGAATATGAAAATGATTTATTTGATTAAGGTTAAACATGTCTGTTGTTATTTGTGGTAACTCTTAATTGGTGTTTGCTCATTAAGATTGAAAGACTAGGCTTTATAATTTGTTTAAGTTAAGAGAAGAGATAAGGAAAGAAGAGATCTTTGATTGAAATATTAGAGAAGGTGATAAATTATTGAAATGGTTTTTACTTGTCTTGATAAAGAGGGAAGCCACCTTTTTTCTCTTTTTTCTTACATATTTTTCCTTACCTTTCCTCCCTTTTGTCCTACACTATTGCATTTTTGAACATATATATATATAAATGTTTTTCTATCGAGGCACCTGGTCTACGCCAACATGTGGAAGGGCACATACTGCTTCCCTTTCGCCTTTCAGCTCCAATCCAGGAGCCCTCAAGCAGTCACATTCATGACAAACCATTTTATATCAAATTTATATTTAGCTGATAAAGAAATATAAATTTTATATCTATCTATCTATCTATCTATCTATCTATCTGTCTATCTATCTATCTAATGCATATCAAATTAAGCATTGTGGCAATGCAGCATCTTTTTCCCAAGCCCTTTCGAATAATGTGTTTACCTTCAGAAATATTTTGAAAGATCTATATATGAGGTATTTATAATCATATGTGTACTATCTTGTATGTACAGCATTAATTCAGATAATGGAAATTGGGCCAACTATTCCCACATCTCTTTGAATTATTATTATTTTATTTCAAATTGCTCTCTACCTTTGTGCTCAGATTCAGAGTAACCTGGATGGAGTGCTACGTTGAAATCTCAATCTCTATGGCTTCCAGGGATCAGTCCAAAGCCGATCACTTGGTATCCCATCTCAGCTTGTCTATCTTGTATCATATGCAGAATGGGGATTACAGTGACCTGATTTCAATTGTAAAAGTGAAAGTAAAATCAGTAGGATCAAGTCAGAATGCAATTAGGCAATGATCCATTCATAGCCAGGAAAAAAAATTAGGTGGCCAAATAATAATATAATCACAGTGTTGTTGATTTCTGCCTTGACATCCCCAAATGTGGAGTGCTTTAATACAATGTGTCATTTGGAATTCATAGAATGGAGCTAATGACTCAATAGCAAATTCCGTTGTGTGTGATAGGTTTAACTGTGTAAAACTCATAGTTTTAGCCTATAAGTTAAGTTTAGAATTGGGCTATCTGCTCAATGAATGTAGAAGGAGTTACCTCCATGTGAATATTTCCAGGATAGTGAACATGCAGCAATGTGATATGTTCATATTTAAATCCAATTATGCCCAGTGGAATTTGACTCTATATTATTTGCTATTAAGTAGGCCACTCCTCTATACACAAAAATTAATTTGAGAAAGGAGTGTTGAGAGCTGAAGGATTTTGCAAATGTAACTAGGAAAGGTAACCCATTAAATTCTGTAAGATTTACTGCCTGGTAATTATCTCTAGCTATGCACTGCACATCCATGGAGCCTATGCACAACAGAACTGATTAATTTTGAATACAGGCCTTACTGGAGCAAGAAAGCTTAGTATAAACCTACTCCAGAAGATATTCCAGTGGATGAACCGTGAACATCTCTAGAACAGGAGAACAGGGCAGGACCAAGAGGAATTTTCAATGGGGGTAAAGCTTGGCAAACTGGCCCTGGGGTGACATTGACACGCATATGGGAGAACGGGCGATTCTGGCAACGCACTGCCAAGAAGATCTAAGCCATTGTCTACCATCCTTTGGTTTAAAACCGTTGAGGGGGTTTTTAACATTGTAATAATTTTAATTGGATTTTCACTTATATTTAATTCATATTGTTGAATTTTTATCTTGTAAGCCGCCCTGAGTCCTTCGGGAGAAGGGCGGCATATAAATTGCAAGAAAAGAAAAGAAAAGAAAAGAAAAGAAACAAGAAAAATGAATCCATTTCAGGGAGGCTGAGGGAGGGAGGTCTGCAGACAGGGAAATGGGAAACCCTTGTCTAGCGCTGTAGAAATGAAGCTCCCTGGTATTTGGTGCAGGAGTTTTAAGGAGAGACTGGATGAGATTTCCTGCTGCGTTTCATTGAGGAGGAGGAGGAAGAGGAGACTGGCAGGGAGGGAGGCCTGCAGCCAGCGGTACCTCACTCCGAGGTAGGGCAAGGAACTAAGGACGGCACCCTTCACTCTTGAGAAACCCGCAGTCCGAGCTTGCCAGTCTTGTTCGCTCGCTCCTTCTGTTCCTTTCCGTTTGAGTCTGGCTTCTCCTCCCGCCTCTCCCCACTCCGAGGCGGGCTCGGCCAGTGGCCGGTGGCATTGTGACGTCACAGAGGACGGCTCTTTTATAAGGACGGGCGCGAGAAGCTCCCGCTTCCTCGGCTCAGCGGTCTGGGCGGAGTGGCGGGTCCGCCGGGAAAGCGGAAGCCTTCCTGATGGGCAGATGAGCCGGGAGGGGGGCTGCGTCGCCGGAGGGCGAGGGGCATGAGGCAGGGGGCGACATGACCGTGCCGCTGCTGAAGATCGGCGCCGTGCTCAGCACCATGGCCATGGTCACCAACTGGATGTCCCAGACGCTGCCTTCTCTCGTGGGGCTGAATGGCACCATCTCTCAGGCCGGCACCTCCGAGAGAAGCGTGAGTTCTCCTTTCTCTTCCCACCCACCCACCCTGGAGAAAAAGGGCTGCCCCGCGGCTGTCCCATCGAGGCGATGGACCTCGCTTAGTGGCTCTGGAGGGCTTGATCGCCTGACTTTTTGGCGGGAAGGGGACCCTGCCCTTTCCTGCCCTTCGTTTCTAGTAACAGTAACAGAGGTGGAAGGGACCTTGGAGGTCATCTAGTCCAACCCCCTGCTCACGCAGGAGACCTGTATTAGGGATTCGAACCGCCGACCTTTCTGATCGACAAACTCGGAGTCTTAGCCACTGAGCCGCCTCGTTTCTAACTCTCAGCTGCGCCAAAGGAGCGCAGCGAGCGAGCGATCCAAGAAGTTGCCTCCTTTCCCAACCTCGTCCCGGAAAGGGGTTTTCCCGGGTTTGGTCTCTTTGCCATTCCGACGAGACGGGTTTATTCACCTGAGTCTGGCGTTTTGTTTTCTGAGTTGCGTCGCGATGAGTCTTGTTTGGGGGCTGCTGGGGGGGCGGGGGGCAAAGAGAGGCGGCTCGGTTCCGATCTATCGTCAAAGCTTCTTTATCCTACCTAGGAGGGAAAGACACTCCCCCCCCCTGCTTGGCCCTTTCTGCTTCTGCATAGATGTGTGCGGGTGTAAAAATAAAAAATGTTGGAGAGACAACTTCATTTTCAGAAGGTTTTCGGTGGGAGAACGTTGGTTAGGAAACAAGAGGTTAAATCAAGCCCCCTTTTTATATGTCCCCTCCGTAGGAATTAGGCGGCCTCGCGGCCAGACTTCACACCAACCGGGAGGGAAATGAGAGTTGCCTGCCCACGGCGGCGGGATCGAGATTTGGGAGTTTTTCAGTTGAACTTGGGAAAAATTGGCAGAGCGGGGTAACGTTAGTCTTCGACATTTGGAATGGGGATTTATGACAGATTGGGACTAAGGGGTGCTTCCTCAACTTGAAAATCTCCTGCTCGCTGGGCTAAATCGCTTGAAATGATCCCAAAAGACTTCTGAATGGATGTCTGGGTGAATGAGCGTGGTGTCCTGCTGTCTTTCTCTCTTAATTCACAACAGAACTACTGCTGTATGAACTATCTCCTCTGCCCAGATGTCTCCAACCCAATTGGAGCTCTTATTCTCGACTTCTTGGAGGGTTGTTTTGATTCTTTCACTCTTTCGAGCTCTTCTAAAGGCTGAAGGGGTTTGGGGAGGGAGGACTAGATGTCTTCCTTTTTGCTACTGCCCTCTTTTTACCAATGTTTCCTCTGAAACTTTGTTAAATGATCCCTCCTATTATTCTGCTATGCAACCCTTCTGGAATGAAAAGAAGGATTCTCGTCGTCCCGTCCCCCCCAACCATTCTCCTGACTGTGGCTAGTCCTAACTGCAGTGGATCACTTCCCTGGGCTCCTCCTAGACTCTTTCAGGGAAGCATCTTCCCTTGTTCAAATATTGGTTTCTTTGGGGTCTCCACACCATTCTCCTCTGCTGAAAACCTCCATGCCAGTCCTTTCCCAACCGCTGTGATTTTTTTTTCCAGTCCCATCGAAGGGTTCCTTTGGATGGATTGCTTTATTTCTTTTCAGCTGGGAGACAGAATTAACAATTCTCTCCTTCCCATTGTTTTTTTTTTCCCCTTTCATGCTTGTCTGAGTAGATTTTTCAACGGGTGGAAAACTTTCTTCAATTCTTAAAGGAGAAATGCTCAGCTCTGTAAGTCTGGGTGTATAATGGGGAAGAAAGGTTCTGAAATGTAGACTGGTTGTGAGCTCTGCAGAGCATACTGGAATTGGTGAATTAGTGTATTTGTGCCTGAGATGTTTTGATTTTTCAATATTGCTGTATACAAGTGCAATGAAATCTATTCTTCCACTGTGTAGGATTCATTTGATGTTTTAAACAATACCTACAGCCTTTAAACAGTGTCTCTGGGTATGTTTATAGAATAAGGATAAGCTTCAAATAGTAGTAGCAAGTCAATAAATGTTTAGAGTAGGAAACGCCCATAAAGGTTTTTGATAAACAGATCGGGTCTGATCCTTTCCCAATTTTGCTTCTGTCTCCATATACCGGTACCTGTCTGTTTGTACTTAAACCCACATCATACGAAGCAGTTAGAAAATCAGTAAACCTTTCAGTAAAGCATTAAAAAGAAAGGAAGCCATAGGATTGGAATATTGTTCTCCACATAGGAATTAGAGAGGATCTTTGGAGATAGAATGGAGATGAAGTCTAATGCCGATTATAGGCATCTCACTGTGAAGCTTAAGGGCACATTGATTTATATACCCATGTGTTGGAATTACTCTAGTGACTGTAATTTGATAGTACAGCAAGTGATGCAAATTTGTACAGGATAATATGGCTTGCTAGCTCTTTACTCTCTATCAATTCCACAAGTAAAATGTGTGTACACTTTTCATGTCTGGTTAATTATAGGGACATGGGAGAAACAAGCTAAGAAAGATGATGGATGTCAAATGCTCTGCTCATTTCTAAGACTTCGGTGTCTAGGATTTGATAGGACCAATGTTTCTTAGGGCTGGGAGAAGGAGCTTCCTGATCACAAATAGCAAATACTATAAGCAAAGAGAGGTGGGACTGGTAGATAAGCAAAGCTATCGATGTCCTGGAATGGGTAAATCCTAAAATGGAAATGGTCTTTCCCTTGCCAGAAGAGAAAGTGGAGGTTAGCTGTGGTGACTGAAAATACGCTTGGAACAAATGAATGGATGGATCTCTGCCAAGAAGCTTCTAGATCATCCTGGAGCCCTGCTGGATGCCACCTATCCATTCCAAGGAATCCAGCTTTGTCAGCTGCAGCAAGTCTATCCACTTGAACGCTCATCTCTTATTGCTTTCTTCAGTGTATTCACCTGATGTAGAGCAAGCTAAGTGTGTCTATTTCACAGTGGGAAAGGCTGAGGTCCCAGTGGAAAGGAAACCGAACATCACAGCTTTCAATTTGAAGTGCTAATTCCTTTCAATTTGGCACAACATTGGTCTGTCCTTATCTCACTCAACTGCCTTAGGGCATTTTCTCACCTGAGATTTACAGTTTTCCTTTGCATTTATTACTTCCTGTAATCTGGATGTAAAGCCAACATGTTCTTGAAAGTGTATGCTTAATTAGAAAAAAGAAGTTTCTATCTGCATGTTAGATGTTCTGAGAGTATTCACAAACATGCACATATTTAAAAAGCCAAGAATGTATGTTTAATATTACATAGGGTAATATTCATCATGTCCTTGAGTGGCCTCTTAATAGCACTCTCGGTGGACAAAATTAGAACTGGATAAAGGGTATGGCGTGTAAGAAATTACCATAGTTCTACTTTCTCTGTTGGATTTTTTTTATTATTATCCTGTAGAGGGTTTCCAAATAGCTCGCTGCAAAAACCAGAAGAATCCCAGGATGCTGTCTAGTTTTCACACAATACCGTGGCTTATTTTTCCACTTGCAATAAATCCTTATACCTTCATGTGGGTTAGGAGCTCCGGAACTTAAAATTTTAAAATAATTAAAATTTTATTTAACTAAGCTTTCGTCAGCCATCTGCTGACATCATCAGAGTATTAAACTACCATTACAGAGATCTCTGCCTTTATATGCCATTAATCAATTTGGCCGTTGTCTGTGTAATAGGCCTTTTCAGCCATCTCCCACTTGTATTAATTTCTTTACTAATATACCTGGAACTCGTGTTTATAGTTTAGGGGTTCATGCAATCTGTTAAGAACCAAATTCTACAACTTCCTTGTTTTCTTGAATTGGTGAGGATTTGGGAAAAAAAATAAATAAATCAGGGCACAAAGCAAGACGATGTCAGCTATTCAGGATAAATTTAAAATTAGACTATACATTTCACCTACGGTTCTTGATTTTGTGCCCATTGCTGGATATACAGTATGCTTTTATTAATTGGCAGCCTTGTACTCTTCTCCCACTGGGGCTGGTGAGGATGCAAATGTTTTGACATTTATGATGTGATGCAAGCCATCCCACTGTTGAATTGGTGATGTGCTTGTGTTCACTCCCAGGCATTGGGCGATATGGTGAAATACCATTCGAAAAGCCTTAGTAGTTGAAATTTCAATTGTCCTGCCAAGTTGCATTTCTGAGGTTTGCCTCCTGCTGTTGGGGAAAGCACATGGCATTTTAAACCCGTCTTCTTTCAAAAGGTGCCAGCCAGTTATACTGACATTCCTGGGATTACCAGACATCTCAGCATGAATTGTCACCAGTTCCTTTTGTTCTGTATGCTTTCTGTGTATTTTTTTTTAAATAGTTCCTTTAAATGAAACTTTCTTTTCATGAACAGGAGCTGCTTTATGTATTGGCTGCATTCACACAACATGCTTACCCTAGCATTTACTGAATTAACCCACTTTCTCACTTGACACAGTACACTGAACCATAAATAATAAAGTGGTCTAGATTTGTGTAATTCACTGTGGCAAAGAAGCAGAAGCAGCAGCTAATCAAGCCTCATGATGGATGGATGGATCTGCTAAGACTTTACCTGACCTAGTTAAGCACATTGTTGTGAACACAGCCTTAGGTTGTATAATTGCCATATACACTGTATACTGTATATACCAAATGGCTTTGCTTCTGAATAGCGCTGTCAGTTGATTGAGTTTTCTTAGGAGTCAACAAGTGGAAAGCTCATATTTTAGTTCAAAAGATGCCTACTGTATTTTGAACATATGTAGCTGGCTTCATAAGAAAAACAATAGCAAAAACCCCAGTGATTAGTTATAATCCAGTATCTTTTTGAGTTTTTGATTTGTTAGATTTATGCCCCTCCTTTCCTTCCAGAGCTTTGATGGGAGTTTCCTCTTCTTTTAACCTACAGCAATCACCCAATCAGTTTCTGTGGCTGAGGGTGGATCTGAAGGTTTTCTTGGCCCCTTGGTCCTATAATAGAGAATATAGGTCAAGGTGAAACATATGACAGAATATGTATAGCTCAGTGCACTGGTGATGTTACCTAGTCTGGTCATGAAACGTCT